CAGTCAGCGTTCCAGTTCATCCCAGTGGGGTTGGACGGGGGTGATGTCAGGGCTCTGCAATCCCGACCAAACTGGGAAAAGCATTTCTGTATGGGCCAAACACAAACTGTAACTTTAAGGTTGAAGATTAGGGCTGTTAATCATTTTCTTGATTCATTGATTACTTCCATCCTCTTTTGCATACTACTCATCAACGTAAGGAGAGCATGCAAACCTTTACATTTCTCTGCTACGGTAAAAAAGAGAAAAAGAAAAGCCCCTAGCTGTTTTCCTTACACACAAACTGGTGCACGGTCTCCGCCCACCACAGAATTTTTTGTCTACTCTGTTTTGCTGTAATGGTGGTAATTAAGGGCTGGCAACGATTAATCAAGTGCCAACTGGTTCATGAATAATTGATAATGCTGTCCCTCCATGGAAGTTGTAATGGGCAACAATTAATGCAAAACTTTTCTGCAATTTGAATCTATCGTAGTTTCCTACCAGTTTCATCCGATTAAGCAGTTCACGTAACTATGAGAGCGCCTACTGTCAAACTACTAGCGATATGGTTCTCACTGGAACCAGTTGCCTTTCATTTTTGAATAGGGGACTGCACAATATGGATTTTTATCCAGCCGATACAATAACCGATAATTACCTGCTTCTCATGGTGATACCGATGAGATAACTGACCTTTACATGGTTGTGGTTTAAAAAAGAAGGTTGTATCGGGGACTGATTAATTGATTGGGTCATTCCTTTGTAAGTAAAGTTTCTCCAATGGAGTGTTTTCTACTTTCTGTAGTCCCTAAACAGTGAACTGAATGACATTGGGGTGTGGACAAAACAGGACATTTGGCACCTTGGGCTTTGGTGGAACATTTTCGACAATTTTCTGAATTTTATGGCCCAACAACTAATACCGGCTACTTGATCTGTAATGAAATACGCTAGTCTGCAGCCCTAATGTGGTTTCTTGGTGGGCGTGACATGTACCCAGTCAGGATGTGGGAATAAATGCGTCGGGTAGAATAACATTTCCGGTACAAACCATGTTCTGGCGCTTCACAATTCACGTCACTCTTGGCTCTCAAACACACTTCAATTGTCACAAATGTAAAGGGCTTTCTATTCTTGTGGAGCTTTCAGGCTCCTCCAAGTTAAGGCTACATGGGACTGAACACAAACCAAGTATAATACATTTACCGACCCAAACCCTGCGGCTGTGGCCGTCGTGTCCTCAGAAACACACAAAATGACCCTAATGTATGGAAAAACCCAGTGACAGAACGATCAGCTTCCACGGTGGCTTAAACAGCAGGGGAGTGGGTTTGGTGGGAGATGGCAGTACTTTAAGTGGTCTATGGTGCTGCAAAAATACCCTCCCACCCA